TAAGATACCTCAGAATAAACCTAACCAAAGAGGTAAAGGATCTATACTCTAGGAACTGCAGAACACTCGTGAAAGAAATTGAAGAAGACACAAAAAGTTGGAAAAATATTCCATGCTCATGGATCGGAAGAATAAACATTGTTAAAATGTCTATGCTACCCAGAGCAATCTATACCTTCAATGCCATCCCGATCAAAATTCCAATGACATTTTTCAAAGTGCTGGAACAAACAATCCTAAAATTTGTATGGAATCAGGAAAGACCCCAAATCGCCAAGGAAATGTTGAAAAAGAAAAACAAAGCTGGGGGCATCACATTGCCCAATTTCAAGCTATATTACAAAGCTGTGATCACCAAGAGAGCATGGTACTGGCACAAAAACAAGACACATAGACCAATGGAACAGAATAGAAAACCCAGATATGGACCCTCAACTCTATGGTCAAATAATCTTCGACAAAGCAGGAAAAAACATGCAATGGAAAAAAGACAGTCTCTTCAATAAATGGTGCTGGGAAAATTAAAAGCACTTTTATAGCAGAGTCCAAGCAATGGGGTCCAAGTAGACATCTCTCTGAGGTTCTGGTTTTTCAAGGATAATTTTGAAGTCGAGCATAGAATGCATGAGTGCACATTCTTCAGCCAATCCTCTGAATACCATTTGACACCATTAATTTGGTTAATATCAGAAACATATTTCTGAACCTCTTGTCTGGGTATGAAGACTGCGTTCCTCATCAGCTGGATCCAGCTTCCTGCTGAGACCAGTGAAGTATATCCTGTCACTGGAGGGTAGAGGGCTCATCTATCTAACTCCAACTTACCAAACCTTCACCTGTCATATATTCTAAACTGATGTAATAATTGTAAGGCATTTCAACATGAGGCTTGAAAATGGCCTTGCCAGAGCTTCATCCAAAAATAGATGTGGGCTGATTCAATTGCCTCCTGGCTATTCTCCCTTCCTCCCATCTTTGTACTGATCTGAGCTTTTCAACACCACAGAGTAGAAGTGATGACATGTAGACCTGACCGGGTCCCTCCCCTGGCAGACAAAGGCTGTCCTCTGTAGACAGGGTAAGGAATAGACAGATACCTTAAGTCAGCTGAATCACATTACCTGGGTCTAATATCTAGACACACCTCAGTCACATGGAAAAATTAGGTTTGTCTACGCTTGCCATGTATCTTTAAGCATAGCTGTTTCTTGCCTGTGGTACCTGTTACCCTTCTTCCCAGGCTCCTCTACTTGACCAGAGTTGGAATTGGCTTTTCTGCAGCGCTTTCATGGGACACCCAGGCAGAAATTTTTACTCCGATTACCACTCCTGTTCTTGTCCTCATCTTGTTTTATCTATTCTGGTTACTGTTTCTCTGTGCAATAAAAAAAAAATCACCCACGTTATTACCAATCAGAAATGTTACTGATCTATTTTGGTACATTTCTTTATAGTACTGTTCCTATATGTATATATTGTGTGCTTTAAAAAAAAAAACTTATTATTGAAGCATAGTTGACATACAGTGTTAGAATAGTTTCAGGTGCCCAACACAGTTATTTGACAATTCTGTACATTACTCATTGCTCACCACAGTAAGTATAGTCACCATCTGTCACATGCAATGTTATTACAATATTATTGACTCTATTCCCTATGCTATACTTTTCATCTCCATGACTTATTTATTTTATAACTGGAAATGTGTACTTCTTAATCCCCATCACCTATTTCATCCATCCCTCCACCCTCCTCCCCTCTGGCAACCATCAGTTTATTCTCTGTATTTAAGAATCTGTTTTTTGGTTGGTTGCTTGTTTGTTTTGTTTTTCAGATTCCACATATAAGTGAAATCATATGGTATTTGTCTATATCTGTCTGACTTATTTCACTGAGCATTATACCCTTTGGGTCCATCCTTGTTGTCGCAAATGACAAGAATCTCATTCTTTTTTTATGGCCGAATAATATTCCTTTTACACACACACCCCTCGTCTTCTTTATCTGTTCATCTGTTAATGGACATTTGGGTTGCTTCCATATCTTGGCTATTGTAAATAATGCTATAATAAATATAGGGGTGTGTACATCTTTTAAAATTAGTGTTTTCATTTTCTTTGCAAATTTTGAACCAGCCTTGCATCCCAGGAATAAATCCCCACTTGATGGTAGTGAGTGATTTTTTTTAATGTATTGTTGGATTGGGTTTGCTAATATTTTGTTGAGGATTTTTGCATTTATGTTCATCAGAGATGTTGGCCTATATTTTATGTTCTCTCTCTCTCTCTCTTTTTAGTGTATTTATCTGGTTTTGGTATCAGGGTAATGCTGGCCTCAGAGAATGAATTTGGAAGTTTTCCTTCCTCTTCTATTTTTTGGAATAGTTTGAGAAGAACAGGTGTTAGCTCTTCTTTAAATGTTTGGTAGAATTCACCTGTGAAGCCATCTGGTCCTGGACTTTGGTTTGTTGGGAGTTTTTTTTTTTTTAAATATTATTTATTTATTTGAGAGACAGAGACAGAGATAGTGACAGAGATAGCGAGAGAGAGGGCAGGAACAGGGAGAAGAGGGAGAAGCAGATCCCCCCACTGAGCAGGGAGCCCGATGCGGGACTCGATCCTGGGACTCCGGGATCATGACCTGAGCCAAAGGCAGACAGTCTACTGAGCCACCCAGGTGCCCCTGTTGGGAGTTTTTTGATTACTGACTCAATTTCTTTGCTGGTAATTGGTCTGTTCAAATTTCTTATTTCTTCCTGATTCAATTTTGGGAGGTTATATGTTTTTAAGAATTTATCCATTTCCTCTAGGTCGTCCAATTTATTGGCACATCATTTTTCATAATATTCTCTTATAATCTTTTGTATTTCTGTGATGTTGGTTATTTCTCCTCTTTCATTTCTGATTTTGTTTGAGTCCTGACTCTCTCTCTCTCTCTCTTTTTTTTATGAGTCTGGCTAGAGTTTTATCAATTTTGTTGGTCTTTTCAAAGAACCAGCTCCCAGTTTCATTGATCTGTTCTATTTTATTTTTAGTTTCTGTTTTGTTTATTTCTGCTCTAATCTTATTATTTCCTTCCTTCTACTGGTTTTGTTTGTTCTTTCTCTAGCTCCTTTAGGTGTAAGGTCACATTGTTCATTTGAGATTTTTTTGTTTGTTTGTTTCTTGAGGCAGGCCTGTATTGCTGTAAATTTTTCTCCTAGAACAGCTTTTACTGCATCTCAAAGGTTTTGGACTGTTGTGTTTTCATTTTCATTTGTCTTGATGTATTCTTTTATTTCCTCTTTGATTTCTTTGTTGACCTATTCATTGTTTAGAAGCATGTTACTTAACCTCCATGTATTTGTGTTCTTTCCAGACTTTTTCTTGTGGTTGATTTCTAGTTTCATAGCATTGTGGTCAGAAAAGATGCATGGCATGACTTCAGTCTTTTTGAATTTGTTGAGACTTGTTTTGTGGCCTAATATATGATCTATTCTGGAGAATGTTCCATGTGTACTTGAAAAGTATATGCTGTTTTAGGGTGGAATTTTCTGAATGTATCTATTAGATCCATCTGGTGCAATGTGTCATTCAAAACCACTGTTTCTTTGTTGATTTTCTGTTTGGATGATCTATCCATTGTTGGAAGTGGAGTGTTAAAGTCCTCTACAATTATTGCATTACTATAGATTACTTCCATTGTATTTGTTATTAGCTGCTTTATGTATTTGGGTGCTCCCATGTTGGATGCATAAATATTTACAATTGATACATGTTTTTGTTGGACTGTTCTCCTTATGATTATATATGCCCTTCTTTGTCTCTTGTTACAGTCTTTGTTTTAAAGTCTATTTTGTCTGATGTAATTACTGCTACCCCGGCTTTCTTTTTGCTTCCATTTCATGATAAATGCTTTTCCATCCCTTCACTTTCAATCTGCATGTGTCTTTAGGTCTGAAATGAATCTCCTGTAGGCAGTCTATAGGTGGGTCTTGCTTTTTTTAATCCATTCCATCACCCTATGTCTTTTGATTGGAGTGTTCAGTCCATTTACATTCAAAGTAATTATTGATAAGTATGTACTTATTGCCATTTTGTTACTTGTTTTATGGTCATTTTGTAGTCCTTCTTTGTTCTTTTCTTCTCTTGCTCTCTTCTGTCAAGGTTTGCTGGCTTTCTTTAGTGATATAGTTGGATTCCTTTCTCTTTATTTTTTGCATATCTATTACTGGTCTTTGATTTGTGGTTACCATTAAGTTCATATATGATATCTTATGCATATATGCATACTGATGGTTGCTTAAGTTTGAATCCATTCTTCACTCCTATTCCCCCACATTTTAGTATAGGATGTCATACTTTACATCTTTTAATTTTGTGAATTCCTTGACTGATTTTTATAGATATACTTATTTTTATTGCTTTTGTGTTTCCTATTTTCTTACTCCTGCTTATGGTCTTTCCTTTCCACTCAAAGAGTCCCCTTTAACATTTCTAGATTATGAACTCCTTTAACTTTTGTTTGTCTGGGAAACTATCTCTCCTTCTATTCTGAATGATAGCCTTTGTTGGGTAGAGTATTCTTGGCTGCAGGTTTTTGTCTTTCAGCACTTTGAATATATCATGTCACTCTCTTCTGGCCTGCAAATTTTCTGCTGAAAAATCAGCTAATAGCCTTATGGGATTTCCTTTGTATGTAATTGGTTTCTTTTCTCTTTCTGCTTTAAAATTCTCTCTTATAACTACACTTTGCCATTTTAATTATTATGTGTCTTGGTGTGGACCTCTTTTGGTTGATTTTATTGGGGGTTCTCTGTGCCTCCTAGATCTGGATTTCTGTTTCCTTCCCTAGATTTTGGAAGTTTTCAGCTATTATTTCTTCAGATAAATTTTTGGCCCCCCTTTCTCTCTCTTCTCCTTGTGAAATCCCTATAATGTGAATGTTATTACACTTGATGGTGTCACTGAGTTCCCTAAGTCTCTTTTCATTTATTATTATATTTTTTTCTCTCTCCTGTTCAGCTTGATTGCTTTTCATTACTCTGTCCTCCATGTCACTGATTCATTCTTTTACTTTCTCTAGTCTACTATTTATTCCATCCAGTGTATTTTTAATTTTAGATATTGAGTTCTTCATCTCTGATTGGTTCTTTTTTATGTTTTGTATCTCTTTGTTAAGGGTCTCCACTCTTTTCTCAAGTCCAGTGAATATCTTTATGACCATTACTTCAAATTCTCTATCAGGCATATTACTTACCTCTGTTTTGTTTAGGTCTCTTGCTGTGATTTTTGTCCTAATCTTTCCCTTGGGACATATTCCTCTGTCTCCTCATTTTGTCTAACTCTCTGTGTCTGTTTCTCTGTGTTAGCAAAATCAGCTATGTCTTCTGCTAGTGAAAATAATGGCCTTATAAAGAAGATGTCTTGTAGTGCCCTGCACTTCAGTGTCCCCTGTTCACCAGCACCTGGCACTTCAGTGGTGTCTCCTATGTGTGTTGCGTTCACCCTCTTGTTGTGGCTGAGGCCCCCGTTTGCCGTGAGTCCCGTCATCTGCAATGGCTCCCTTTTCCTGTTGTGGGCAGTGTTTGGTTCCTGTGGTGTTAGTGGGCCAGTCTGAGGCCACGTTGGGCTTAAAGTGAGTCAGATCAGGCGTTTACCAGAGATACAGTAGCACCAAACTTCAGGAGAATGAGGGGGGGGTGGGGCGCACAGTGCCAGCAAGGTCTGCGCTGGTGGGAGGGGACCTGTAGCTGGGTTGGATCTGCAGAAGAGTGTGGTGGCGGGATGTGTGGTGTTAGCAAGGTTTACACTGGCCTGGCTCCACAGGAAGACATGTGGGTAGGGCACACTGTTAGCAAGTTAGGTAGCGAATGTTGGCTCAGGGCTGATACCCACAGGTGTTTGTGTGCTTATGGTGAGGAGGAGGGGAGGGAAATGGTGCCACCAGCTCTTGTGTTCCTGGAGAAGTTGCCCAATAATCCCTGCCCCAGTAACCCATGCTCTGAGATTAGTAAACAAATCTCCGTTCCATATACCACAGGCGTTTTTCAAACTCCTGCTTCCATGCTATATCTCCATGGGGTTATTTGTTGCTCTATCTCTTTAAGTGCAGGGGCTCAGTTTCCTCTTGTGCTCCTGACTCTCCCACAAACCTGCTATTTTTGAAGTTCCAAGTTTTAAGCCTCCCTGATTGTAAAAAATCATAGAATTTGGTCCCTCTGGTTTTCAAAGCCAAATGTTATGGGGATTCATCTTTCCTGTTCAGGCTCCTTCTTGTGAAAGTCTATTTCTCTCCCCTCTCTCCACCTGTGGTATTCCCCCCCCGCCACCACTGCCTTCTGGGGACAGTTCTGTAGGTCTGTTTCCTCCTGACTTTGTCTCTGCCCTTCCTACCCTCTTTTATGAGGCCTCTTCTCTACATTTAACTGTGGAGAATCTGTTTGGCCAGTCTTTGGGTCATTTTCTGGGTTATTTACAGTGATGTGGCTGTTACCTAGCTGTATCTATGGATGAGGTGAGTTTAGGGTCCTCCTACACTTGCATCCTCCTTAGAAGGGTTTTTAAATGAATAACAGTGACATCCAAAGGCAAGAAATTGGAAAATAATAGATCAGCTTTTCCACAAAACTCAATTTTGTGTTAGAAATGTCTTCTGAAAAATTTCCCACAACTGCTAAGATTTATTTCCTGGATTCTGCACACATCACACTATGCCCTGCAGGCACTAGTGAGCCCCAGAAACCAATTCTACATATACAAATAAACAAAAGTAAGGGGACCAGAAAAGTCCCTCAAATTAGGGACAAGAGCTGATGAGTGGTCCAAAATTGACTAGAGGCCTGATTATGTTGGTGAAATACAATTTGCAAGACTTAATTTATGCGCTGTAAATTAGGGAAGAAACTTTACTTGGTGGGAAGAAGTTGGAGAGAGGGGAGGGGTCATAGAAGGGATTGCTCACTGGGACAGCACTGGAAGCTTGAAGAAGGGGGAGGGAGAGAGAGAGAGGCTACAGGAAGCACTCCATACTGGGAGAACCTTGGTCACACACTTGTGCACTGCAGTGTGGAATAATGCCGGAACAAAGAGAAGATTGGTTATAGCATGGGGAAATAGGAATGGATTAGGAGATTTTTTGTGTCACAGGCAGACAGTGATTTTCTTCCCATTTTTTTGTTCATGGGATAATAAGACAACTAAATATCATAGTAGCAAGACTGGCCCAAGACATTATCCCCAGGTCAGATAATTGGGCACATTGTGTACTAAATTATGAATAAATTTATGTCTCCTCTATGCCATTGAGCCTTCAAACCATCCTTTATTCTGAACATACTATGAGCTACTCTGTGAGTCAATTTCATTCATTATCATAATACTATCAGTAGCAGAATCAAATAATACATAGATGGTTTCTAAAATTAATATAAAATTGCTTCATGGTTTAGCTGAGAGATACCTAATAACTTAGATTATCCTCACATGAGGACAAATGGATGAATTTTTAATCTTGCTACTTTGAATAGGGTAAAATTAGTTTTTTTAGAAGTGAGGATCATTTAATACTTGTAGAAAAAGTTGAAGAATTTTCAAAAAACTTTGCTAACTACACAAAGGCTTAATTAAGAGAGCAACCCCCCTGAGATGTCTGCTGTCACGCGTATTGAGTTTTCTTTGCTGTCTAGAGTTGCTTCTTTGTGCTTGTGTTCCTCATAAAGACACTTCCTCACAGGGTTTGTGAGTTTTGTCTATCCTTGTCCTTGTTGTTTTTTTTTTCCTGAATTTAAGGGGGAGACATTTATTCTGATTATGAGAGTAATACATGGTCATTGTAAAGGATTTGGAAAATACAGAAATATAGGATAAGGAGGAAAATAAAATCTAGTTTGATAACTAAAAAACTGCAGTTCACATTTTCTTTCCAGTATTTTCCTTTTCTTTATATTTAATTGTACAAGTAATGCATAAATATATCCTTTTTGAAAAAACTAAACCATTGCCTTCTCCCCATCTGCAGCTCCAATTCTAGTGTCACCCCCCAGAGGTAAGTACTGTTATTGAGGTGATGTGTATGCTCTCAGACCTTTTTCTTTTTTTTCTCTCTCTCATATATTTATAGAAAATAAATAGTATATTAACCCCTTTTTATGTTTTATGACAAAGGGTATCAAACCATGGATCTACACTTTCTTATTTTTGTTCGGTGATAAATCTTGGAGATATTATTATGTTCAAACATACAGATCTAGCTTATGTGTGTTGCATAGTATTCCATAGTATGGAAATGCCTTGTTTTAGTAATTGCCCTGTCAATGGAAATTTATATGGTTTTAGCCCTCCTCCCTTTCCGCTTTTGCTATTACAAATAATGATATAATGAATATCCTTATACATATTTTTATGCCCATGTATGAGTATTTTTCATGGGGAGATAATTGGAGAGTAGAGCTGCTCAGTTGGATGATATTTACATTTAGTCCATATAATACATAGATTTTATTTTATTTTAAACTCTGTTTCTTCTGTTTGAGAGAGAGAGAGAGCATGCACATGTGTGCACGAGGGCTGGGAGGGGTCGAGGGAGAAGGAGAGAGAGAATCTCAAGCAGGCTTCCCTCTCAGCGTGGAGCCCAACACAGGGCTCAATCCCATGACCCCAAGATCATGACCTGAACCGAAATCAAGAGTTGGACGCTTAACTGACTGAGCCACCCAGACACCTCAATACATTGATTTTAATATAGTCAAGCCAGTAGAGCGTCCAAAGGGCTTAACCACTTCATATTCCTGGCAGCTACATATGAAGATAACCCTTTCCTTATACTTTGCTAACACTTATTACTACCAAACCTTCTATTTTTTCCAAACTGATGTACCAAAAATGGTGTGGCTTTCTTTTAATTCTTATTCACCTGATTGTTAGGGTGGTTAGAGGATCTTTTTATGTATTTTTCAGCCATTTGTATTTCTCTTAATGAGAATTCTCTATTTATGTGTATACTCATTTTATTGGGTTGTGATTTTCTTATTAATTTGTAGGTGTTCCAGATATTCTAGGTTTTAGCTCCGTGTTCAGTGGGGAGTCTGCTTGAGGTTCTGTCTCTCTCTCTCTCTCCTTTTGCCCCTCCTCCCCTCAAATAATAAATAAATAAATCTTTAAAAAATATTCGATGTTTTAATCCTTCATCTGATACATACAAAACAATTTCTTTCAGCCTGTGATTTAGTGATCTATATCTATAAATTTTTGTATGTGACTGGGATGAAACTGTATGTGCAATTTTACATTTTGTCTTTTTTCACTAAAATTATATTGCATTTTCCCCTATCATTAAAGATTCTCCAACAAGATGATTTTTAATGACTGAATATAATTTTATTGTGTGAACGTAACATTTTGTGTGTTTTTCTTTTTTTCTTCAAGCACAATTAGAGCTCAGCATGCTTCTGTTGAGCTGTAACTGTGTCTGTAATTTTGCTATTGAATATATTTGGCAAATTTTGCTAATGATTGCCTTTCTGAATATCTTTCTATTTAATCTTTGGGTGTATTTCCATTTCTTTAGGTAAGATTATAAGAAGGAAACTCATTGGGGCAAATACTATTAATGTAAATTTCATTGATACATACGGTGACATTTTTTTCTGGAAATTTTTTTTTTTTAAAGATTTTATTTATTTATTTGACCCAGAGAGAGACAGCGAGAGAGGGAGCACAAGCAGGGGGAGTGGGAGAGGGAGAAGCAGGCTTCCCGCCGAGCAGGGGGCCCAATGCAGGGCTCGATCCCAGGACCCTGAGATCATGACCTGAGCCAAAGGCAGATGCTTAACTGACTGAGCCACCCAGGCGCCCCTTTTTCTGGAAATTTTGTACCAGCTTATCTTTCTATGAGTAGTATGTCAGCATGTCTTTCTCACAGAACTCTCTCTCTCTCTCTTTTTTTAGAACTGTCTCTTAATTATTAAGTGTATTAAGTATATTTAAAATATCAATTTTAAAGATCAGAAATAATACCTCACTGATAGTATAATTTGTATTTAATTGACGACCAGTGAAGAAGGATACTTCTCATTTATTAGCCATTTATAGTTCTTCTGATAGTTGTTAATTCTTTTATGTAATTTTTCTCTAGGGTATTTGTTTTCTTATTGGTTTGAGTAGGTTCTTTGCATATTACGGTTTTGACTCTTTATATTACTTTTGTAAATATTTTTACACTTTGTTCTTCACTTTAAATTCTGTTTATATATTTTTAGTGTATAGAAGTTTTAAAATTTTGTTGTCATATGTGAGTTTTGTCTTGATGTTCTTTCAGTGCTTCTATGCTTAGAAAATCCTTTTCAAGATAAGATACATATAAATTGATAGTACTTTTTATGATTGCATTTTTAATATTCAGTGCTTCAAGTCTATCTTAAATTTACTTTGGCTTATAATGTGTAATACAGCTCTAAAATTTCTTTTTTTTCTTTAGTAATTAGCTTCACTATTTATTGACCAATATTTTGCCCCCCACTATTTATAGCATAACCTTTC